CCCTAACAAGTGCTTTTGCTGCATCCCTTAAATTTTGGTATGTTGTCTCATTATTGTCATTCTGTTTAATGAAGTTATTGATTGTTTCTATGATTTGTTGTTTGACCCATTCATTTTTTAGGGTTGGATTATATGTGGCCCTTTATTACATATAATTTTCATTGCATCATATCTGAAAAGGATACATTTAATTTTTATCTTTCTGTATTGGATTGTGATGTTTTTATGTATACGGTCAATTTTTGTGTATGTGCCATGTATTGTTGAGAAAAAAATATATTCCTTTCTATACCCATTCAATTTTCTCCAGCGGTCTACCATACCTAACTTTTCTAATATTCTCTTCACCTCCTTAACGTCTTTCTTGTTTATTTTATGGTTAGATTTATTTAATTCAGAGAGGGTGAGGTTGAGGTCTCCCACTAGCATAGTTTTGCTATTTCTTCCTGTAACTCCCTGAACTTTTTCTCTAAGAATTTGGATGCCATACCACTTGTTACATGTGTGTTTAGTAATGATATTGGTTCATTGTCTATGGTACCTTTTAGCAGGATATAGTTTCCTTCCTTATCTCTTTTGGCAAGATCTGCTTTTGCTTTTGCTTTGTCTGAGATCAAGATTGCTATTCTTGCTTTTTTTACTTCAGCTGAGTATAATATATTCTACTCCAGCCTTTTATCTTTACCCTGTGTGTGTCCCTCTGTTTCAAATGTGTTTCCTGTAAACAACATATTGTAGGATTATGGTTTTTAATCCATTCTGCTATCTGCTTCTGTTTTATGAGAGAGTTCATCCCATTCATAGTCACAGTTGTGATTACTGTCTTTATGTTTCTCTCCATCCCATTTCCCCTGTGTTTATGCTTTTCTTTCTCCTTTTCCCTCCTCACTAGTGTATTGCTTTTGACCACCATCTCCCTCAGTCCTGCCTCACTTCTATTAGTCCCCTTCCTTTTCTTCCCCTTTACCCTTATTGCTTCTTCCCTCCCTTCTATTCTCCCTCCCTTTTCTTTCCCCTTTTCCCTCCTATTGCCTATAGGGCAAGTTAGATTTCCATACCTAATTGATTGTTATTCCCTTCTTGAACCAAATCTGATGAGAGTAAGGTTCAAGCAATGCTCATCTCCCTCCCTTCTTTACCTCTACTGCAATAGGTTTTTGTGCCGTTCCCTGTAATGTAATTTACCTTTGACTGCCTCCTCCTTTCCTTTTCTCCCAGTAGATTCCCTTAGTTAGATCAGATTAATCCACTTACTTAGATCCATTTAACCCACTTAATCAGATTTTTTTTTATCATTACATCAAAGTTGACTTAAACCTACCCATTCTGTCTGTGTGTACCCCTTTAACATGGTGTGATAACAATATAGTTCTTAAGAGTTACAAGTATCATCTTTCCTTATAGGGATGTAAACAGTTTGCTCTTATTAATAACGTTGTTGGTTTTTTTTCTGTCCTGTTTACCTTTTTATGTCTCTCTTTGAGTCTTGTATTTGAAGATCAGATTTTCTGTTGAGCACTGGTCTTTTTATTAGGAAGGTTTGGAAGTCCCCTATTTTGTGGAATGTCCATCACCTCCCTTGAAAGATGAGGTTCATTTTTGCTGGGTAGTCTATCCTTGGTTGTAATCCAAGCTCATTTGCTTTACAGAATATCGTATTCCATGCCCTACAGTCTTTTAATGTAGAAGCTGCAAAGTCCTGCATAATCCTGACTGTGTTCATATTTAAATTGTTTCTTTCTGGCTACTTGGCAGTATTTTCTCTTTGACCTGATAATTTTGGAATTTGGCTGCTATATTCCTTGGCGTTTCCTGTTTGGTATCTCTTTCAGGTGGATTCTTTCTATGGCTATTTTACCTTCTGATTCTAGGTAAGGGGTCACTGACCCAAGCTTCTTGTGTTGGGAGCCCAGGGCCTGGTCACTGACTTTGTGTGCTGAGGCCTCCGATGCTGGCAGTTGGAGGCTGTAGGGTTCTGGCAGCTTAGCTGGTATGGGGCTGGAATCAGCAACACTGGAGCCCTAGGGGTAGGTTTAGGTAGTCTGGCCCCTGGAGGTTGCCTGCTCACTTGCGGCCTGTCCTTTTACTTTCTTCTGCTCCTTTCAGACGGATCTTTTGCTGCTGCAGGATGTTTCTCCACCGGGGGCTTTCCCCTTTGGAGCTGCGCTTAGCAGAGTTTTGCTGAGGCACTGGGAGACTTGGCTGCCATAGAACACCATGGAATGTGGTGGTTTTCCGAGCCAGTTTCCACTGGTTTCCCTGCCCGTACTGAGGCACTGGGGGTCCTGGTGTTGGTGCTTGCCTGCTCCATCACCTGGGGTTCAGGATCTTCCCTTGGTATGCTGAGGTGGGGCTTTCTGCTAGCTTTCTGGGATGCCTCCTGTTCTGTACTGCTCCCCCTCCCCCAGGGCAAGAGGGGCCTTTCCTTTTAATTCCTTAAGCTCCCTGGGCTACTGCACTGCTGTATCCAAGTCTTTCTGCTGGTTCAGCTGTTTCAGGGATTTTTCTGGGGTGATATTTTCTGGGCTTTCAGAGGTTAATAAGGGACAGTGAGAGCAACTTAACTTCTTACTCCATCATCCTGGCTCCCGGAATTCTACCCCAGAATTTGTATTTTGTTGTTTAATTGGGGTTGAATTTTTTCAAAAAGTTGGTTTTCTAGTTTTTTAGTTGCATATCCAATTTTTATTTTTAATTTGTCCTTTCTCTTTTTTAATTGATTAAAGTATTTAGAGATAAACATTTTCCCTTTAAGGACTGCTTTGCCTATATTGCAAAAAAGGTTTGGTGTGCTATGTCACTGTTGTCATTATCTTTAATAAAATTATTGGTTGGTATTATGATTTGTTATTTGACCCACCAGTTCTATAGGATTTAGTTATTTTTCTTCCATGGACCCTTTTAAAATATAATTTTTATTTACTGCTTTTCTGTGCTTGTTTGTGACTTTTTTATGTCCTGCTTAATATATGGTAAGTTTTAGAAAGGTGCTATGAACAGCTGAGAAATAGATATATCAGTTTCTCTTCCCATTTATTAATCACCAGAGGTTTTTTTTTTTAATTTGGACCCTAAACTTTTCTCTTGTTTTTTATTTTTTTTTGGTTTAGACTTGTCTAGCTCTGAAAGGGGGACTCCCAAGTCCTCAGTATTATAGCTTTATTGTCTATTTCTCCCAGCAACTAGTTTGGCCTTTCCTTTGAGTATTTAGATATTAGATTATCACATAAATGTTAAATGATGATATTGTCTGTTGTACTTTTCAACAAAATGTGGTTTCCCCTGTTTATGTCTTATAATTAAGTCATGTTTTTTTGAGATTGCCTTGTATGAGATCATGATTGCTAGTGTTACTTTTTTTGAGTTCAGCTGAGACGTAATAGATTTTTCTTCAACTTCTTTTAACTCTATCAATCTTTGTTTCAATATATTTCTTGTAAACGACATATTGTTGGATTCTGCTTTCTAATCCATTCTCTCTTCTATTTTGTAGGTATATACATATATAATATACAGTGCTTTATAAAGTGCCATGTAAATGCTATTATTATGTTCATCTCATTCATCTTCACAGTTATGATCTTTGTGTATTTCTTCCACACTATTCTTTTATAGTTTTTACTCTTTGTTCCCCACCTCCTTTTTATCTATCATAGATTCTTACCTTTTATCTTCTTCATCTATCCTCCAAATTTAGTTTGTTTTACTTATGAGTAACTCCTATAGTCTACCCTCTCTCTTATTCCATCTTTTCCCTTCTCTTTTCCTTCCTGTTTCCCTATTTAGTGGAATGTAGTTATCCATCCATCCATCGTGTGTGTGTGTGTGTGTGTGTGTGTGTGTGTGTGTGTGTGTGTGTGTGTGTGTGTAGATAGAAGTGTATTCTACTCTCCTTTGATAAGTTCATTTGAAAGTAAGGTTCAGGTGATATCCACTCCCCCAGTCCTTTACTTGTGTATATAGATTTCTGGGTGTGTACCACAGTTACATGTTTCCCCTACCTTTGCTCCTTAACTCTTTAATATATTTTTTTGCCCCCACCCCTCAGTCCTTCCTTTTACGAGCATCAGAATATAACAAAACCACTCCCATGCCCTTTGGCTTATTTGGTTTCCTTTAAGATCTCTGAAAATTTTAGGGTTCCTCGGGGCATACTTAATATCATCTTCCTCTCTGCACATTAATTCATTCTACTGTTGGTTACAGAGGCCTTTACTTCAAACTAAGTATCTATTTTATGATAGAAGCCATGCCAAAGTAGCGATTTTTGTTTTTTACTCTAAGTATCTGTTTTGTGACAAAAGCTATGCCAAAGTAGCAATTTTTAAGAGTTTGTATTTGGAAGCAGCATAATAGGCTCTTTTTCATCTCCTTTCCAACTTTTTTTTGGCCTTACTCCACCCTTTCTTTTTTTCTTTACCACTGCCCCCTTTTTGTTTTCCTTTTTATTCTCTCACTTAAAACTTGATACAGAGCGAAACAGTTTGAAACAAGTACGCGAGAGATGATTATGTTCTTCCTGATACCTTTTATAAGCTAAGTTGGATATGAGAGTTATTATTATTGTTATCATCATCATCATCATCATCATCAATGAGAGCTGGCTTGAAAATGGAAAATATTGGTGGTCTTCACAGATTTGTAGAATCTTATGGCTAGCTTACAGTCTGAAAGAGAAAGTTTATTTGACTAGATAGTGGTTTGCATGATTTAGGTACCTAGTATTTGCTGATTTACCTTGACTAGTGAATGGGCTGAAAAGATAGAGTAGCCCTAGCATTTTGTAAGGTCTTAAATGCCAGACTAAGAAGTTTTGACTTTATTTAGGAGGTCATAGGGAACTATTGAAGGGTTTTGAGCAGAGAAGTGACATAATTAGAGGGGTACACAAAGAAGGATGATCTGTCAGTGATGAATAGAAATAACTCATATTTATCATTAGCTTAATTTATCATTTATAAATTTCTTTTTTGACCATTTTCTTATTCTTGTTTTTCTAGGTATTGATGCAGAACTTTATTATGTGAGAAATGATCTTATTAATCACTACGCACTATCCTTTAACCTGCTAGTACCCAGTGACACCAATTACCTTCACTTCACGTGGTATGCTAAATCCAAGGTAAGAAACTAATTAGCACTATGTAAGTTTATGATTACAGAGGGATAAAAAATTATGAATGAAAGTTGACTTTTAGGAGATGAAATCTGTGGTTCTGAATCAAGAACAGCTCTTAGAACATTCAGCAAGATGGTTTTGCTTGTTTTCCAATTTATAAAGGGCTGCTACAGGACCCAACTATGATCAAGTTGGTATTTTAGATCTTAAATCTAATCTTTTATAGTTTCCCTAAAACCCAAAAATTCATTAATTTAAATTATTAGAATATCCCATAGCCTTCTGTGCTTTTCCAACTTTGATGTTTATCTAGTTAAAAGAGGGAAAAACTGACCCAGTAGTTATTATATGCTTCAGAATATATCTACTTAGTTAAAGAACTTAGAGACATAGTGTTTAAAAGATCTGTTCAATTAATACATATTTATTGACTACTTACTTTGTTCAAAACATGCTAGGAATACAAGTACAAAAAATGAAGCAATCTGTTGTATCAAAGAGCTTGTATTCCAGTGGAGGAGACGAGTTACACGTATAAGTATATGAAAAATAAGTATAATCCATAATTAGTCAGTAAACATTAAGAGCCTACTATGTGCTAGGTATTGTGCTAAGCACTGGGTATATAAAGAAAGATAAAAGAAAGTTGTTGCTCTCAAGGAACTCACAGTCTAATGGGGAGATACCACACAAACAACTGTACAAACAGGATATATTCCAGATAAATTGGAGATAATTAAGAAGGCCCTAGAATTAAAGAGAGATTGGGAAAGGCTTCCTATAGAAGTTAGGATTTTAATTAGGACTTGAAGGAAGCCAGGATTCAGAGATGGGAAGGGAAAGCATTCCATGAATGGGGGGGTGGGGCAGCCAGTGAAAATGCTGATTCAAGAGTAGAATGTCTTGTATGAGGGACAGCAAGGAGTTTGGTGTCACTGGATTGAAAGATATGTTGGGGATGGAGTAGACAAGGAGGAGAGGATATACAGAATGGCCAAGTGCAAAATCACCATGATGAGAATTTTGCATGTAAGCAGAAGAGAGAAGGCTGAGAGAGGGAATAACATCCAGTGAGACTAGAAACATATATTAGGTCCAAGTTGTGAAGGGCTATAAATGTGTTTAGACGTATTCAGGTAACATATGCCCCTGTCGCTGGCAGTTCATTTATTGTTCTGTCTTGGTAATTATGGGAAAATAGCATTGAATTTTGAAGACAAAAATAGTCTTGCACATGTATTGTTACTAAGGTTTAAATAATCCATGTAGCAGCTCAAACTGGGAATGAATACTCTGGTGTATAAATCACTAATGGTCGAAATACACTTATTTGTGGGACTTCAGTTTATACTTCATCTCGTGTTGAATTGGTCTTGAAATTTTTCTTACTGATGAGTCTTCATTCTACAGTTAACTTTGCTAATATGTGATTCAGGTGCTTTTCTCTTGCTCTTGTGCAGAGAAGGTAGCTGAAAGTGAAGGCAATAGAGCATTTAGTGATATAGCGTAGAAGCTATCCATGTTAAGAGTAAATGTATTTTCTGTTAGAAGCAGGATATTGTGAACACATTTCATGTTAAGGTGTATAAATGGAGTTGGAAAGAAGGCCCTTGAGTGCACTAAGGGTACTGTGAATATTTCTAGTTTTTGCTACATACTAGCAGAAATTACTTTGAATTGTCTGGGCTTGAAATTTCTACCTAAAAAGTTTTAAGTTTATCTTCAGTTTGATGTGTGTGTTTTTTGGGGGGAGGGGTAAATTCAAAACCAAAAAATTTTGGATATAAATCAGTTTTTATTGCTTATTTTTGGTCTATATAAATATATATAAATATAAAATGTATAAATAGATTTTAAATAATAAACAGATCTGTTTAGCTTAGGTGCCATTTGTTGTATATATAATTTCTGTGTAATTCTGTGAACTGGATACTTTGGATTGCCAATCTTTCACGAGGTGCTGAGAGCTAAGTGTATTCTTTTAACTGTTTTGCATATTCATATAGCTAATGTGAATGAGATTGAATTTGAGACATTTGACAAAAGTGGTATGCTGCCATTACCTAGCAAATGAATAATCTTCCTTATTCTTTCTCCTTCTTTTATTGTCTTCTTCCTTTCTTTTCTTCCTCCTCTCTCTATAGTTTCTGCAATTTAGTTCTCATATATATATATATATATATATATATGTGTGTATTTTTATATATATATGTATGTATATATGTGTGTGTGTGTGTGTGTGTGTGTGTGTGTGTGTGTGTGTGTGTGTGTATGCATTGCCTGGACTTTTTATTGATTCTCAACACCAAAAAAGTTGCTGACCCATAGTGTAACAGATTTTGTTTATTAGCATCTCTAAAGAGAAGTAGAGGAGGGACCAAGACCTTTCCTTAAGTTAGGCTACTGTTTTAAATAATTGTTCACTTAGGTTAAACAGTAGCCTTTTCTTTTTTTTGGTTTATGTATATATTTATGTTTTCCAATTACATGTAAAAATAATTTTGAACATTAGTTTTTAAAAAATTTTGAGATACAAATTCTTTCCTTCCCTCCATCCCCTCCCCCATCATTGAGAAGGCAAGCAATTTTTTTCACTTATTTATTTATTTATTTTGATTTATCAACAATCACTTCCATAAGCTTTTGAGTTTTACATTTTTCTTTCCCTCCTTCCCCGCCTCCCTGCACAAGATGTATCGCAATTAGATATATGCTATACATACACATTCCTATTAAACATATTTTCACATTAGTGATATTTTAAGGAAGAATTAGAACCAATAGGAGGAACCACAAGAAAGAGAAAACAAAACAGAAGAAAAAAAATAGTCAATAGTGTGCTTCAGTCTGCATTCAAACTCCATAGTTCTTTCCTTGAATATGGATAGCATTTTCCATCATGAGACCTTTGGAGATGTCTTAGATCCTTGCATTGCTGAGAAGGGCTAATAAGTCTATCAACATTAGTCATCACACAACATGGCTGTTACTGTGTACAATGTTTTCCTGGTTCTGCTCACTTCACTCAGCATCAGTCCATACAAGTCTTTCCAGGTTTTTCTGAAGTCCAGAAGGCGCTCAATTTGATAAGGGTTATACTTGTGCAGTCGTACAAAACATTTCCATATTAGTCATGTTGTGAAAGAAAATGCAGACCAAGAAAAAAAAAACAAGAAAAAATTTTAAAAAAGTATGCTTCAATCTGCATTCAGACTCCATCAGTTCTTTCTCTGGAGATGGATAGCTTTTTTCATCAGAAGTCTGAGAATAGCTAAGTCATTCATAGTTGATCATCATTCAGTATTACTATTACTGTGTACAGTGTTCTGATTCTGCTCACTTCACTTTACATCAGTTCATTTTTTTCTGAAAGCATCCTGCTCATCATTTCTTATAGCACAGTAGCATTTTGTTGCAATTATGTACCAAAACTTGTTTAGCCATTCCCCAATTGATGGGAATCCCCTTAGTCTCCACTTTTTTGCCAGTACAAAAAGAGCTGCTAGAAATATTTTTGTACATACAGGTCCTTTTCTTTTCCTTTTCTTTCTTTTTTAAAATCTCTTTGGAATACAGACCAAGTAGTGGTATGCTGAGTCAAAGGCTATGCACATTTTTATAGCCCTTATAGCATAGTTCCAAATTACTCTCCAGAATGGTTGGATCATTTCACAACTCCACCACCAGTGCTTTAGTGTCCCAGTTTCCCCACACTCCCTCCAACATTTGTCATTTTCCTTTTCTGTTATATTAGCCAATCTGATAGATGTGAGATGGTACCTGAGAATTGTTTTAATTTCATTTCTCTAATCAGTAGTGTAATGATTTAGAGCATTTTTTCATATGACTATAGATAGCTTTGATTTCTTTGTCTGAAAACTGCCTGTTCATATCTTTTGACCATTTATCAATTGGGGAATGGGTATTATTTTTCTAAATTTATCTCAATTCCCTGTATATTTGAGAAATGAGGCCTTTTATTGGAGAAACTTGCTGTAAAATCTCGCCCTCCCCCAATTTCTTACTTTCCTTCTAATTTTGGCTTCCTTCATTTTGATTGTGCATAATGTTTTAGATTTCATGTAATCAGAACTATATGTTACACTTAATGATCTTCTCTAACTTTGATTGGGTCATAAATTCTTCTTTATCCATAGATCTGGCAGGTAAAATTTTCCATGCTTCCCTAATTTGCTTATTATATCATGCTTTATGTCCAAATCATGTACCCATTTTGACCTTATCTTGGTATATGGTGTGAGATGTAGATCTATGCCTAGCTTCTGCCATACTTCTGTCCAATTTTTCCAGCAATTTTTGTCAAATGACAAGTTCTTGCCCCCAAAGCTAGGATCTTTGGGTTTATCAAACACTAGATTACTGTGGTCATTTACTACTGTGTATTGTGAACCTAATCTATTCCACTGATCCATTGCTCTATTTCTTATCTAGTACCAGATTTTTTCAATGATTACTGCTTTGTATTGTAGTTTGAAATCTGGTATTGCTAGGCTACCTTCCTTCACATTTTTCATTTGATTCATTAATTTTTCTTCATTGATTCCCTTGATATTCTTGACTGTTCTCGTAGATGAATTTTGTTACTTTTTCTAGCTTTATAAAATAATTCTTTAGTAGTTTGATTGGTGGGGCAACAAATAGGTAAATTAATTTTGGTAGAATTGTCATTTTTATTATATTGACTCAACCTACCCATGAGCAATTAATGTTTCTCTAAGTTGTTTAGATTTGTATTTATTTGTGTGAAAAGTGTTTTGTAATTATAATAATGTGGTCATATAATCCTGGGTTTGTCTAGACAGGTAGACTTCCAAATATTTTATAATGTTTGCTGTTATTCTAAATGGAATTCTCTATCTCCTGCTGCTGGGTTTTGTTGTTAATATATAGAAATGCCAATGATTTATATGGGTTTATTTTATATCCTGTAACTTTCTTAAAGTTGTTAATTGTTTCAGCTAATTTTTTAGCTGATTCTCTAG